GCGGATGTCTCAATCTCAAGGGCAGGCTCATGCGCTCAGGGGAGGAGTTCCGCAAGACGCTGCAGCAGAAGTGGATGCAGTACTACGGTCGGCCAGCTGTTCTACGTCTATACGGTGAAGGCTGCCATGTGGAGAAGCGTGTCAAGGAGTGGTTATCATCGCGCGGGATCATGGTGGATATCTCGGCCAGGCAGGCCCATAACCAGCTGGCACTATGCGAGAGGAACATCGGGATTCTCAAAGACACCATGGACAAGATCGCGGAGGAGTCAGACAGCAAGGTCACGGCGGACGAAATTCTCTCGGAGGCGATTGACGCGATGAACGACCTCGGCAGGTACAAGGGTCACAGTCCATACGAGATGATGCTGGGAAGGACACCGGAACCGATCGTGGGCGATGTGTTCGGTCAGGAGCACAATCTACCTATTCTCAGCAAGGTATACGATGCCGAGGACGACGAGTACATCAAGAACCAGAAGGTGCGACTCGAGGCTCGGAAGGCATTTCTCGAGACGATATCCAGACGGCGTCTAGCACTCTTGGAGCTGCGTAAGACGAGGGAGAAGACGACCTGGGCTACCGGACAATTGTGCTACTGGTGGTCGGAGAAGGCGAAGGGCAACCTCAAGCAACCAGGTGGCATCTGGTCAGGACCGGCTACAGTGATTGCGCAAGAACCTGGAGCGGATGGACATCCTGGGTCAGTTGTCTGGATAGAGCACCATGGCCGTTTACTACGAGCTGGCAGAGGACATCTCAGACCAGCTACTGAGGCCGAGATTGAGATACACCAGCTCCTTCACGGAGAAGCAGTACCTCTCAACATCACCGCTGCCATGCTGAAGGTCAAGAAGAGCCAGTATGAGGACCTGATTGGACAGCGTACTCCCGATCTGGATGACATGGGCGATGCCTGGGTGGAGGAGCCGAAGGAACCATTCCCACAAGGACCTGAAGCTGATCAACCAGCGGAAGCTGCACAACCACCACCAGGAGAGGCCAAGGTCGACAAGACAGAGGAGGAGAAGGACAACAAGTACGAAGAAAAGAAGGAGGAGTCGGAAGTCGCCAAGGACGAGGATACCTCATCCATCGAGCTGGAGCCACCGGATCCACCAGGATCACCACCAGTACGACCAGAGCGACTACCAGGTGTAGCTCAGGGCGGGACTGGGAAGAAGTCACGCCACGAGGACAAGACAGGTGTCAAGAGGGAGAGGGACAACGACGACTTCAAGGACAGAGTTCAGGGCGATCAGAACTCGATTCCGAAGACTAGCGAGGAGCAGGACGTTACGACTGAGAGACAGGACGCTGTCTACGTCTCCATCGCAGTGCCCTCCAAGGAAGCCTTCAACCGCTTCGTGAAGGACCCGCGCCTGTATGTTGCCACGCAGGCGAGGAGGCAGCGTATTGAGGTGAACTACAAGAAGCTGGACGACAAGGACAAGGCGAAGTTCGACGTCGCCATGAAGAAGGAGGTGGACCAGTTTCTACTCGCTCAAGCGTGCCGTGGAGTTCTCAGGAGCAAGCTGCCGGACGTCGACTTAATGAAGATGCGATGGGTTCTAACATGGAAGGAGGATCCAGAGGCTGATGGCGGCAAGAAGGCTAAGGCCAGACTGGTACTCATCGGCTACACCGACAAGGACCTCGAGACTCTGAAGACAGAGTCACCGACACCATCGAGGAAATCAAGGATGATGCTGTACCAGATGGCGGCCAACAATGGCTGGAAGACGTGGCTTGCAGATGCTTCGTCAGCTTTTCTACATGGAGAAGCGACTGAGGAGGAGCGGGAGCTCTACGCACTACCAGTACCACAACTTCGAGAGGCCCTCAACCTGAACGAAGACGACGTTGTGCAGATTCTCAAGGCTTGCTACGGACTCACCAACGCACCCAGGAGATGGTACGAGAAAGTCAAGAAGGATCTCGAGAGTAGAGGTCGGTACGCGTGTAAGTTGGAGCCGTGCCTCTTCACGAAGGTCAACTCGGACAACACGGTGATCGGGCTCATCTTGGTTCATGTGGATGATTTCCAGATCACAGGTGACATCTACAACGAGGAGTCCAGGCCCGAGTACGAGTATCTCAAGACGCTATACAGATGGGGCATGTGGAAATCCGACGATGAGGGATATTCAGTTTGTGGTGTTGACGTTTCTCGAAACGAAGATGGTGGTTTTCGTCTAAGTCAGGAGAAGCATGCCAAGACGATTCAACCGATCAACGTGAAGCGCAACAGGAAGTCGGATCCAGAATCCAAGCTGACGAGTGAGGAGATCACTACATGCAGGGCCATCTTGGGACAATCACAGTGGCCTTCTACGCAGACAATGCCGCAGATCGCAGTTCATGTATCGATGCTGCAGTCTATCGTCAACAGTGCGACCGTGAAGGACCTCGGTAGGATCAATCAACTTGTGAAGAACATCCATGAAATTGCAGGGACTGGTGTGACAGTGCATCCGTTCAAGAACATGGCTTGGGTTTGTTGGTTTGATGCTTCTTGGTGTTCAAGGGCTGACGGCAGTAGTCAAGGAGGCTACGTGATCTGCACGACAGAGAAGACGGCGCTCAGCGGCAACAAGGAGAAGTGCACGGTGTTCACTGGAGCTTCCAAGAAGCTGACAAGGAAGTGAAGATCGTCTCTCGGTGCAGAAATCCAGGCGGCCAGCGAGGCTGCAAACGAGCTGGAGTACACACAGCTTGCCTGGATGGAGATGCTGAACGCGAGGGTCTACCTCAAGGGCGACGAGCGCTACCGGTTCATACGCGACGGTCCTGACAGTGTCCTCGTAACAGACTGCAAGAGTATCTACGACGCGGTAACAGGTTCGGAGAGCTCGGCACTAGGACTCAGTGATAAGCGCTCGGCCATTGAGTGCATGGCGTTCAAGCAGGGTATCTACGAGTGCGGCGCAGAACTTCGATGGGTTCATTCTCATGCTCAGGTCGCAGTTGGATGCACCAAGATCAAGTACGAGGCTCAGAAATTGCTTGATGTTTTCTTGTGCAGAGGTTTCTGGACCTTGGGTCATGACCCGGAGTTCGAGTCGGCACGGAAGCGAGGCTTGCGTGGTTTAGACATCCTTGATGAGAAGGTGACACAGGAATATGAGATCATATCAGGTGATTGAGGCCAGCTTGCTCGTTTCATTATACATATCGCTCGCTATCGCGAGATTTGTTTCAGCACGCTTGTGTTTTGTCTAATGTAGTTTTATATCTCAGTCGCTACGCGACAGTTTCACCTAATGAATGTTCTCTCGGTCGAGGCCAAAAGCTTTTTCCCCCTGTGTAAATCTGTGTGAGTCTTGGCCGACCGATCGAGACCCGGGAGCCCGAACGAGCGAACGAGCCGATTCTATCGCTGTTTGGTTCAGGGCGCCCTTGGGCCGGTGCATAGCTACCGGCGAGTACGTTTGTACATCGGTGCTTCCAGAGCACCACGTTATAAGAGCCCACCAGGGGCTCACACACGAGATTGATACAGTATCGTGACTGTTGGCGCTGCGCTGGGCAGAAAGGTGGATTATCACGATAATCATCAGTGTTCACTGGGATTGACGACAGCTATCCGAAGTACATTGAGGAGGCTACCACCAGCGCCTACAATTTAGGGAGGGAGGGGAGGGGAAAAGGGAAGGGAAGGGAAGGGAAGGGAAGGGAGGGGAGGCGGGGGGAGGGGGAGGGGGAGGGGGAGAGGAGGGGAAGTGAAGGGAAGGGAGGCGGGGGGAGGTAAGCTAGGTGCGCTCGCGTCATATTTGACGTCCTACCCCTCCGTACCATTCCATTACTTTGGTATAGATCTCCTCTCTATTCGCACAGTCGGATGTCGAGGCAGCGCATAGCATTACATGGCATAGCATGGTGTTGACTATCAACGTGTAGCCTGACATAGCATGGCGTGGCGACGCCCCAAAGTGGGTGGGGGGGCTTCTGCGGCCCCCAAAATCAACAAATAGACACAAGTCCCAGGATTCTCAATTTTCTGAATATGTTCTTGATCTTCGTCTTCTCCCCCGCTTACCATCTTTCCCCATCTGTTCCTGGAGGTCGACGATTCATTGTGTCTGTGTGTTATCCCCACATGAAAGAAATAAGAGCCCTCCGCCCCGAAAAGGCCCTCGAGACCGCCAGCAACCGCCCAAGATCCCCCCCAACAAGCCCCAAGGTGCCCCCAAGAGGCTCAAAGAGCGGCCTCCAGAGGCTCCCAAACGGTTTCCAAAAGGTCCCCAGAAGCCTCACTGTGGACTGCTTCCCACTTCTTGGTGTTGGCGGAAAGGCGTCAGCCTCTAGGATAAGAGCCCCTAAGGCAAACCTGATTGGCGAAAGATTGCCAGGCCCAAGGTTTTTCCAGGGCGACCTCCTCCAGCTCCCCTGAGATCCTGGCGACTCCATTTTGTGGAGCTAGGCGTCTTCGCGTGGTTTCGGGCCCCGGGACCCTCACAAATCACTCCGGCTTCAAACATGCAGCAGAAACATGGGGTTTAACGCTCTGGCTTCGATTTCTCACAGAGATTATGTTTTTTTCGAGACGTCGGATCTCAGGGTCCCCCCCTTCAGCTGCTGCCCGTACTTTCCTCCCCCCCTATTTCCGCCCCCTCTCCACATCCCCTTCCTCCTCCCTCTCCCCCCCTTCCTCCTCTTCCACCTCCCGCTTCTGTCGTTTACGTCCTCTCCTCCTGTGCATCACTATTTCTGCGACGACGGGAAGCCAGATGGCAAAGCGACGGAACACGGTAGCTTACACAGGAGGCCAGGGCGACGGGGTGCGATGCAGACGAGGGCGCTAGTGCACGACCTTACGCGGGCAGCTCAGGCGCCAAGAACGGTTCAAGACGACCCCGTTTCCTGCGTCGCTCATTTGCCCCCGCCTCCTCCGGCCGTGCCTGCCCCTTCCCCCTCCCTGCTCACCATTGTTTACCCTCCTTGGGCGCGAATGGATAGAGGGTCGAGGAAGGGGGGCGAAGAAGGGTGCTCTTTCGGGCCCTATAGAGGCCCACTCTTGGGCCCTAAAGGGCTCCTTTTTGCAACCCTCGCTGCCCAATCAAGCCGTCGCCCCCAATTACGCGCCCCTCAACGTCATCTGTTTCCTCCTTCTCTGGATGCCCGGAGGACTGCCATCATATCATACTTGCCTGCCACCGCATCAAGCCTCTGCCGCAGCGAGCTTCTTTATGGTCTCGATGTCTGCGACAGCGATAGGGCCACCATAGGAGACGCTCTCTTCCATCTTTAGCATGACCACTTCCGAATCCTCCGATATAACCTTCTGGTACTCCTCAGCCGGCGCAGACTTCTGGTATTCCTCGTACGACTGTTTCGACGCCCAAACAGATCGCATCATAAACGTGATGCCTCCCTGCTCCTCATGCTCCTGCTTCCAGTCGTGAAGTCCGCCGACCCCTTTGAGGTCACTTGGCGAGTGAGCGTTATTGCTCACATAATGATCCCTGATAAGCGATGGTGTATACCTGAGAGCTTATGTGCGCGTAACCCATGCACGCGATCTCAGCGCAACCTGTTATGACAGGCCTGTGGAGGTGTTGGGGGAGGTTACATGCATCGCTATTCCTCATCTGGAATACCCGTGGGCATGATAAGCATGTCATGTAGGACCTCAGTCGATGTTACACAGACACCTTCTGTGACATTCGCCGCAGGTGAGGCCATGCACTGCTTTGGTAGTCCCACTGCTCGGACTGATGCAAACTCGCTTCCCACGATGCTCGCGAAACGTTGTGGCACCCATGGGTCACAGCAATCAGTGCAGACACATCTCGACCATCTGGCGGAATTGCGGATATTATGCTCTACTGTTGGGCCTCGACCTGCAGACCCAGCCCTTGCAATCACGTTGCGCAAGTCAATGTTATGGTATTTTCTGGGGAAACACACGAGGCTGTCTTTGGCACGTGGAACCGAGTAGATGCACCCTAGCCTCGCCATCACGTAGCGTCCATGCGGAGGTGCCGAAAGAGAATCGGGAACATATCCGGAGCCAAGGGTGCACACACTACGTCGCGGCCGCTCACTGGGAGACTTCGGCGCGGTGCTTCCCCCTCCAGCTCATCTTCCTCCTCTTCTGCACTCGTGTTCTTTGCCCTTTCCCGCTCGTGCTCAGCGACTGCAATCTCAGAACCAACAAACCCTGACATCCGACATCACGGACAACCAATAACTCGACCAAAACCCTGGACTTTATCTTTCTGCTATATTTCCCGAGCCGGGACGATCCGTGCGATTCGTGGGTGTAGAACCCGGGGGGGGGGGTAGCCTACCCTAGGCCCTACCCAAGGGCCTAGGGTAGCCTAGGGTAGGCCCTACCCAAGGCCCTAGGGTAGCCTACCCGAGGCCCTACCCAAGGCCCTAGGGTGGCCTACGGTAGGCCCTACCCAAGGCCCTAGGGTAGACCTAGGGCAGGCCTTACCCAATGACGTAAGGTAGACCTAAGCATATAGAGCCTGGAGGGTAGGCCTACCCTAGGCCTACCCCTTAGGCCTGCCCCCTAGGCCTACCCTAGGCCTACCCCCTAGGCCTACCCCCTAGCCCTACCCTGGGCCTACCCCTAAGCCTACCCCCTAAGCCTACCGTAGGCCTACCCCTAGGCCTACCTCGAGAGCCTACCGGAGGGCTGGTGCGTGTACACTTGACGCGCGTGAACCCTAGCGGTCGGGTCGGGTCGGGCGGGCGGACCCTAACGGGCGGGTCGGGTCGGGCCGGGCGGACCCTAACGGGCGGGTCGGGTCGGGCGGGCGGGACATTGAAGTATGGTGCGTGTACGCTTGACACGCGTGAGCCCTAACGGGCGGGTCGGGTCGGGCCGGGCGGGCGGACCCTAACGGGCGGGTCTGGTCGGGTCGGGCGGACCCTAACGGGCGAGTCGGGTCGGGCGGGCGTGACATGAAAGTATGGTGCGTGTACACTTGACACGCGTGAACCTTAACGGGCGGGTCGGGTCGGACCGGGCGGACCCTAACGGGCGGGTCGGGTCGGGCGGCCGGGACATTAAAGTATGGTGCGTGCGCACTTGACACGCTCGAGCCCTAACGGGCGGGTCGGGTCGGGTCGGGCGGGCGGACCCTAACGGGCGGGTCGGGTCGGGCGGACCCTAACGGGCGGGTCGGGTCGGGCGGGCGGGACCATTAAAGTATGGTGCGTGTACACTTGACACGCGTGAACCCTAACGGGCGGGTCGGGTCGGGTCGGTCGGGCGGACCCTAACGCGGCGGGGGTCGGGTCGGGCGGGCGGGACATTAAAGTATGGTGCGTGTGCACTTGACACGCGTGAACCCTAACGGGCGGGTCGGGTCGGGGCGGGCGGACCCTAACGGGCGGGTCGGGTCGGGTCGGGCGGACCCTAACGGGCGGGCTGGGTCCGGCGGGCGGGACATTAAAGTATGGTTGTGTACACTTGACACGCGTGAACCCTCACGGGCGGGTCGGGTCGGGTCGGGCGGGCGGACCCTCACGGGCGGGTCGGGTCGGGTCGGGCGGACCCTAACGGGCGGGTCGGGTCGGGCGGGCGGGACATTAATCTATAGTGCGTGTACACTTGACACGCGTGAACCCTAACGGGCGGGTCGGGTCGGGCGGGCGGACCCTCACGGGCGGGTCGGGTCGGGTCGGGCGGACCCTAACGGGCGGATCGGGTCGGGCGGGCGGGACATTAAAGTATGGTGCGTGCACACTTGATACGCGCGTGCTCGAACGGGCGGGTCGGGTCGGGTCGGGCGGGCGGACCCTAACGGGCGGGTCGGGTCGGAGGGATAGGCCTAGCCTAGACCTAGGGGGTAGGCCTAGGGGGTAGGACTAGGGTAGGCCTAGGGGGTAGGCTTAGGGGTAGGTCGAGGGTAGGCCTGGGGGGTAGGCCTAAGGGTAGGCCTAGGGTAGGCCTAGGGGGTAGGCCTAGGGGTAGGCCTAGGGTAGGCCCAGGGGGTAGGCCTAGGGGTAAACCTAGGGTAGGCCTAGGGGGCAGGCCCAGGGGTAGGCCTAGGGTAGGCCTAGGGGGTAGGCCTAGGGGGTAGGCCTAGGGGGTAGGTCTAGGGTAGGCCTAGAGGGTAGGCCTAGGGTGGGCCTAGGAGGTAGGCCTAAGGGTAGGCCTAGGGTAGGCCTACCCCCCGGGTTCTATATGGATCCGTGAGGGTCCCAGGGCCTGGAACGAGGCAAATCGTCCGTGCGACGTCAAAAACTCTGGGGAAACCAACAAGCACCGATACCGACAACTACGCCACAGACCGCTCCTGGGGTGCGTTCTGGCCAGGATTTCAAGGCGAATCCAGCGGTGGCGACTAGGGCCCCCGTGGAGGCCCCTCAAAAAAGGAAGACGGGCGAAGGGTAGCGGTATGGGCACCTTTCCTCTTCTGAATATCCAAGTGATTCAGCTGTATGAATTTGGATGACCCAGAAGGGGGTCCAGCTGCAAGGGGGTGGTGCAATAGATTGTGGGGAATTGTTTTGCAAATGTACTGCGCCGGAGAATCGTTTTGAATTGTATTGCAAGTGATGTATTGCACGCGACAGTCCAGCAACACTTCTGCGCCCCGGAACGTACTGCACGACCCAGGTGTATTGCAACCCCACGACTCCATCGAACCATATATATATATATATATATATATATATATTGCACCACCCCCTCGTCGCCGGACCCCCTCTGGGGTCGACCCGAAAGAAAAGCCCTGCGCCATGAGATCGGAAACCCGGGGGCGGCGAGCCTGGCGGCGGCCGGTTCGGATCTGTGGACGTCGAAGCTCCTGCAGCCCCGCGCCTGGCGGGCCTTGGGCAGCAGCGCCACCAGGGCGCTGCAGACCTTCCCGAGGCTCATGCTCATGACCGTGCAGGCCGTCTGGACCTCCACCTGCGGCATGCGGGGTGCAGCGGGACACGGGTCCTGGGCCCCGGGGAAAGGGTCCAGACCTCCAGGGAGCCCCTCGAGCCGGGAAGAGGCCGCGACGGACTGTCTGTCGCTGTGCTCCGCCTCGGGGGGGGGGCCCGGACCGGACCTCAGGACCGCCAGAGACCGAGTCGGGGTGAAAGGCAGGCCCCAAGGCTTGTGCCGAGACCTCTGGGGGTCCACGCTATGAAAACATCACGGCGCCGAGGGTCTGGGGAAGGGGGGCATACGATTATGAAAGGGCCCCAGAACACACAAATAAATCCACACAAATAAAATGATTCCCCATATATTCTCATATTTTCTGGGTTTTTGTCTTCCCCCCACTTCCCATATGTTCGCATGTTTTCCTGGGGATCGACGCTTAATTGTGTCTGTGTGTTTCTTCCCCTCCTGAGATTAGGAGCTTTGGCTTTGCGTGTCGCTCCGCTGGTTCAGGACTGCCCCCTGGACCAGCTCTTCGGCCTGGAGTCGCTCCTTGACGATCCCCGGGCCCGAAAACGGAAACAAGCTTCAGGGCCGTGTCCCCAGGAAAAGCTCACGCGGCGAGAGAAATCTGCCACCGTGCCGTCCTTCTGAGGGGCAACTAGCAAAAGAGATTCCCGAGGACACGGCTGCTAAAAATTGGCCGGGAACCGCGCCCAAAACAAAAACGGTTCTGGATGTTGAAAAAATATGGTACAAACTCAACCACTCCCGGAAAGGGGTGGGGAAAAATGACATACGGCCCCCCTTTTGCAAAATACGCTTAGAAATCTACCACAATGGACGGTTTCGTCGGCTTGGCCCGAGACATCCCGCGAAAAATGACCCACGGCACCCCCGCCACAAAATGATTCATGTTGGCGACGCATTGTCTGTAGCTGTGCCACCAAGAATATGGTTCCTGAGCAACGATAGAAGGAGACCTGGCGTACGGAGGGATGCATCGACCTGGAATTTTTGGTAGGTGGACCTCTCAAGCTCTCCGCCGCCTCTGGCGGTGTGCGTTGCGAGCAGGAGCACAACAAAGCCACAGAAAAGCGCGGCATTGACAGTGTAGCTCCGCACACGTGACAAATGCTAACGAGCAGGAACACAGCAAAGCCCCAGTAGAGCGAGGCATAGATAGTGCAGCGCAGCTCAACATTGACACGGTGGTGGCCGGGGTGCCCCCGCGACATGTCCACGAGCGTTGCTCCACCCTGGCGGGTGTGGACAGAAGATGCGCTGAAAGCACAAAGGGCAATACCACAAGATCTCATGACGAGACCAAGGCCGTGAGCGATGTATTGCCAATACATCGGGAACAGGCTCTCGATAGCGCGTCCGCATGTTCCTGCACGGGGTAGAACCATCGGGCCCCCCGTCGGCGATGAATGGCCGACTGGGGGTCGATGCATCCCCCCCCCTTGCCTATCCCCTCCCAGGTCCCGTGCTCAACCTCTGATGATGGGCAAAGTTTCCACCACCACTGCCATATGTAGGACGGGGGAGAAGGGAGGATGAGGAGGTTCTCCTCCTCCCCTCCTCCTCCTCCTCCTCCTCCTCCTCCTCCTACATATGGTAGCGGTGATGGAAAATGGGCCCATCATCTGAGGCTCGGTCCTCAATCCTGGGGATTCTTGAAGCGGCCCGGACCCCAGCTCTCAGATCACCTTGGGCTTCGGGCGTGTCCCTCGTGGCTCCCCGCATCTTCCCGCGTGACTCTTTAGAATGGGGGCTCCAAATCGAGCCCAGAGGGTCCCAAGAGGCCCCCGAAGGAGGGTCCCGAATCGCCGGACGATCTGTCCAAGACGCCCAAGATGGCCTCCAGTCGGTCGAAAACCTGCTCAAGACGCCCCATGACCCCTCCAAGAGCACCCCCAAGAGGGCCCCAAGAGGCAACATCCATTGATTTTGCAAAGGTTGTTCAACGTTTTTGGGGTTCTCGACTTTTCGAACTTCCGCGTCCCAAGAGGCCCCCAAGACCGGCCCGTGACTGCCCAAGATGCCCCCAACAGGGACAAGGACTGCTCACGAGGGCGCCAACACGGCCCCGAGAGGGATCCCAGAGCGGGAGCTCGAACTGACTCCCGTCCCAAGATGCCCCCCAGACGCCAAAAGAGGCCCCGAAATTGCCCCCAGGAGGCCTCAAGACTGCCTCCACGCGGCCCCCTGAGAGGCCTCCCGCGTCATCCCGACAAGCATAACCCACAACCCAGGCACGGGAGCGGGATGGGCCGAAGGTCCTCAAAATCCGGCGCCACGTGTTGATTTATCACGAGGGTGCCTGACGTGCTAGATCCTACAGCTTGGTTTCGGTTCTCTTCCGGAAGCACGGCTCTGGGGCTTCGGCGCATGCAGCCGGCCACCCCGAAAGCTCTGGGCGAGGTGGTCGCAAAGGCTCCTGCTGCTCAAGGTGGCTCCAAAATGGCGCAGAAGACTGCCAGGATGGCCCTCAGCAGATTCCTCCCAAGACGATGGCCTCCGAGACGGCCCAAGAGTGTCTGAGATGCCTCCAGGTCCGCCCTAGAAGCCTCCAGGACGGCTCAGGAGGCCTCCAAGACGTCCTCCAGGAGGGATCGCAGAGGCCAAAGGCATTGATTGTCCGTGTGCTTTTGAGGGACTTGGGCATTCACTTCTTTTCGGCCTTCCGACGGCCCAGGAGGCGGCCAGATAGGCCCCCAAGATCGCCCCAAGGTGGCCCCGAAGGCCTCCAAGATGGCCCCAGGACGGCCCAGGGTGCTTTCAAGACGGCCCCGAAGGGGGCCCCAAGACAGCCCAAGAAGCTTCGAATACGCCCAAGATGGCCTCCGCGACGGCCCTCAAGCGCCTCAAGAGGGTTCCAAGTCGGTTCAGAGAGGCATCCAAGACGGCTTCCGACGCCGATGATTCGCCGTAGGCGTCGGAAGCCGTCTTGGATGCCGGGGGGCGGCGATTCGCCGCAGGCGTCTTCGATCGTGAAACCCTACGCCTTTTTCGAATCAGATCGATCTGTGCGGGGCCCGGGGCCCGAAACTGGGCGGAAATGCTTGCGATGCAAAAATTGCAGCGCCGGGATCTCAGGGTCCCTGAGGACTCGCTCGTCCCACGACGACCAAATGAGCGGCGCTGGCGTGATGGGCTACTTTTCCACCAACACTACCACAGGTCGGACGGGGGAGAAGAGAGGATGGGGATGTCCTCCTCCTCGTTCTCCTCGTTCTCCTCGTTCTCCTCGTTCTCCTCGTTCTCCTCGTTCTCCTCCTCCTCCTCCTCCTCCTCCTCTCTCTCCTCCTCCTCCTCATCCTGCTTCTTCTCCTCCTCCTCCTCCTCCTCCTCCTCCTCCTCCTCCTCCTCCTCCTCCTCCTCCTCCTCCTCCACCCTCTCCTACCTAACAGTGGTGGTGCAAGATCAGCCCATCATGGCGGAGCAGCCGGCGCTTGGCGAGCCCCCCCTCCACGAGGGAGGGACCCAAGCCATGCGAGCCGGAGAACCGAGCAAAACCTTGGGATCCGTTCCCCTCACCAGACATCCGATGCCTTGATCTTTCCAACGCGGTGCCATCAGGCCCATCCCCTTGCCAAGACGAGGCCAGGAGGAGGATAACATTGGGTGAGGAATAGATCGAGAATCTCTGAGATCTGACGGCTCTGGAAGATGTCTCGGGCGCCGCGGCCATATCAATGGGTTCCAGAACGCCCTGAGAACGTCCCGGAACGCTCTGGAACGGAATTCTCCTCCTCCTCCTCCTCCTGGCTCCGCCCGATGCAGCTCCTTCCCCCATGGATGGATGTGCATGATAACAAAAACAATGTTCGTAGAGCACAAGCCCGATGTGTTAAAACAGGACCGTCTGAGCCAGAGATGTTCTAAGAACAGCTCGTGCAGATCACGAAAAGCTCTAAGAACCTCCTCTGGTGGGCCTCCATAGAGCCCACCTCAATCGGGTTCCGAATAGATGGGATCGGCGGAACACGCCGCATCGCAAATACATCGGCGATGTATCCGCGATGTGTCGGCGATGCAGCGGCGATGCATCGGCGACGTCAGCGATGCATCGGCGCCATCGGCGTGGAGAAAATCTGACTCCACATCAAGCCGCATCGCCGAGGCATCGGCGATGCGGCGCCATCCTCCGGCGCCATCTACTCCGACCCCATCTGAGAGGCCTAGACTCCAGGCAAAAAAGACGCTTGGCCACTGCTTGACTCAGGTCGGGCGTGCCCCCCTACCGGCGGATGTTTGACGAACAATGGAAAATACACCACAAGACCACAACAACGGTCCACAAAATAGTCAGAGCAGCGTCCCCAGACTATTTTGTACTATTTTCGAATATTCCCCCTGGAGGGGGAAAGGCCCGACCTGAGCCGAGATTCCAGGCAACCCAAAACGCTTCGCCACTGCTCGACTTGAGCAGTGACCGACCGTCCCGGCATCTCTATTGTCCTACCACGATGTGTTCCTAGAACCCAAAAATGTTCTAAGAACAGAAACAGTGTTCCTAGAACAGAAACCCGATGTGTTCAACCAAGGCAATCCCGGCCAGAAATGTTCTGAGAACATCTCGTGCAGAGCAAAAAAGGTTCTCAGAACACTGTTTGGTAGGGCTATAGGCGAGCCAGGACGCTCCGCAACAGCCTGAGAGGAGGAAGAGGAGGAGGAGGAGGAGGAGGAGGAGGAGGAGGAGGAGGAGGAGGAGGAGGAGGAGGAGGAGGAGGAGGAGGAGGAGGAGGAGGAGGGGAGGGGGAGGGGGAGGGGGAGGGGGAGGGGGGAGGTGGAGGAGGAGGAGGAGGAGGAGGAGGAGGAGGAGGAGGAGGAGGAGGAGGAGGAGGAGGAGGAGGAGGAGGGGGAGGGGGAGGGGGAGGTGAAGGAGGACGAGGAGGAGGAGGAGGAGGAAGGAGGAGGAGGAGAGGAGGAGAGGAGGAGGAAGTGCTCGATCGACGCCCTTCTCGCGCCCTGCCGCCTGCGCGGGGCCGGCAGGGCCTCCGGCGCCGGGTGCGACCCCGAGGCCCTCGACGAGGCGGCCCTTGAGGTCGGGGGCCAGGTGCCCGAGCTTGGCGCCCGCGGCCCGCGCGAGCGCCTGCTTCTGCTGGGGCGGCGCCTGGAGGGTGTCGCCAAAGGGGTTCGGCAGCCCGTCCTCCTCCTCCTCCTCTCCTCATCCTCCTCCTCCTCCTCCTCCTCCCTCCTCCTCCTCCTCCTCCTCCTCCCTCTCCCTCCTTCCTCCTCCTCCTCCCTCCTCCTCTCCTCCCTCCTCCTCCTCTCCTCCTCCTCCTCCTCCTCCTCCTCCTCCTCCTCCTCCTCAGGTCGCCGTTTGAGATTTTGGTGCATAGCCCGACCGAACCGCATGCACTAACTCACACAGCAGTGACCTGGCGCCCCCCTCGCAGACCCAAGGGGCACTGGGGACTGGGGAACCCTCCATGGTATTCGTCTTTCCGATACCGTAACGTGCATCGTCTCTACGTCTTCGCATGGACTTGGTTTGTGCCGCATCTGATTTCGAGGACTCGGAATTTGCACGTGTGACCTCCAGCCAAAGAAGACGACAACGGCATCCGACGCACTCACGCAAAAATATGCCAGATTGCCAGGATGGACATTCTGAAAAGCCCATCATTCTCACCTCCGCCGGGGCTTGAGCAGAGACCAGAAGATCAGCGTACACAATTTGAGAAAGGTTGCATGCTGGAACACTTTAAAGAGAAACTCAAGGACCACGCGCAGGAGAACCAGCGCACAAGTTCTCGCCATGACGACGACGCTACCGACGACAAGAAGGCTGCACCGGTTTCGTATACAACGGAGGGAGCCGAGAGTCAACCACCAAAGGCGTGGCGGGCCCGATGCGGTCCTGGTGAGAGCACCCCGCCAGAGCCTGAGGCTGCTTTTGCAGAATGGATTGGAACGATTCGCAGTTCGAACAGCTTGGAACAACCAGAAGGTCAGTGTGCGCAATCTGAGAACGGTTGCGTGCTGGAACGTTTTGAAGACAAGGTGACAAAACCACGAGCCGGAGAGCAAGCGCCCAAGTTCTTGCCACGACGACGACGCGACCTTTGACGAGAAGGCTGCACAGGTGCTATATACGAAGGATTGCAACAAAACCCAAGGATTGCAAAAAAAACAGGATTGCAAAAAGACCCAGGATTGCAAACAAAAAAAAAAGGATTGCAAAAACACCCACGGTTTTTTTTTGCAATCCTTCGGAGGGAAGCGGGAGTCAATAACCCAATGCCTTGCGGGCCCGATGCGGTCCTGGAGAGAGCAACCCGCCAGAGCCTGAGGAAGCAACGCAGTCGAATACGAACGAGATTTGTGTTGCAGAGTTGGTTGGAGAGATTCGCAGTTCGGACAGCTTGGAACAGATTCAATCGATTCTAGATGAGTTCCCGTACGGATTGGACCATTATGCAGACGGTCGCCCAAACAAAGAGCCTGATAATCAGGAAGTTGGCAGTTTTCCAACCGAAATTAGCACATTGGCAGAGGCAGTGGAGCTGGCAGACATTATGAGCAAGGACCAGCTGTATTTCTTATTAGGCAAGCATAAACACGTAGCAGAGAGCGCTGGCTTGACATCACAGCAACGAAAAGAGCTTGACACGCTACATGGTGACTTGCGCAGAGCTTTGCAACATATTCAGGAGGCCGATGCAAGGAGCACCACTGACGCATGGAATAAGTTGCTTGACAAAGTACACAAGCTATTCATATAGTGTGGAGGGATGCATGTTTCCGACATCATGTTACGACTTGATCACACATATCCAAAGAAAGACGTGTACGGAGCAATCGAAACATGGATGAATGTCGGAGTTATAGCTTGCAATGGCCACGCATATAGAACAGTTGCTTAAACACGGTCGAACAAGTGGTGCTTGCCGAGAGGGAACAATAAATAACTACACCAATTCGTTTGCTAGGCCATCGCCTTCCGCGGCTGCCCCCCCTCTCTTCCCCCCCCCCTGGTCGGGGGCCTCGGCTCGGCTTGTCTATTGTTTTTCCTCGGCTGTCCTCCTCTCCTGTTCTTCCCCTGGCTCCTCGGCTTGCCTGCCGCTTGGTTCCATCTCGGGCCAAAGGACCCCGCGGCGAGATAAGAGACGGTACATCGGGCATTGGTGCAGATATGCAGGACAGGCCACTTGTCTCTCCTTGCGTCTCTTGCCGTGCCGAGCAAGGGGGGTGAGAGGGGGGGAGGATGTGGGGTGGGGAGGCTCTCAGAGGACGAGCCCCGCCCTGGACAGACCAGGGCAGGAGCGTCCTCCTGCATTCTCAGTTGCTATCTCCTTGGTGTTGCAGGGTTCCCTGCTTCGGGGCAGCATGGCCACGCCCCAACGGGGGTCGGGCCTGCATCGCCCTAGGCAGCCCCGCGGGTCGGATGACCGTCCGAAGCCGAAGGTGCCGCTTCCACTCTACACCCAGGGAGCCGTCTAGCTAGAGAACAGCGGACTGGCGCTCCTCAAGGGCCTTGACCTTAACTTTACCCTTCTCCTCCTCCTCCTCCTCCTCCTCCTCCTCCTCCTCCTCCTCCTCCTCCTCCTCCTCGGGTCGCCTACGGCCCCGGGGGGCACCGTGCAGCGGCGCCTGTGCTCGCAGGCTGTTTTGCTCCTCAGGTCCCCAACAAGTTTGACCCAGACTCGATGTTTTGCTCCATCCCCTCCTCCTCTGCACGTCCTCTTGCCTGACAAGGGGGCGGAGCTCCTCCTGCTCCTCCTCCTCCTCCTCCTCCTCCTCCTCCCTCCTCCACTCCTCCTCCTCCTCCTCCTCCTCCTCCTCCTCCTCCTCCCCCTCCTCCACTCCTGATCCTTCTTGTCGCACCCCGAGGCGGGCGCGTTGTGAAGAGAAATGGCGACCTGATTTTCAGCCTCCGGGGACGGGGCCGTCAAAAACGACTCGGGGTGAAACACCAGTCCCCGGGGAGGGGGTCGAGACCTCTGGGGTCGACGCTGTGGAATAAAAAAACACGACGTCGGGGGTCTTGGCCCCTGATCGCCAGAACTCGCAGGCGATTTCACTCCCCAAGTCCCCGAGTTCCGCCCGAAAAATTTGACCGCTCAGAAGGGGGGGGACCCTGGGATACACCTGACGCACACCTACGAGGATGAGCGCCCCCCGTCATAGATCCCAAGGTTGGGCCCCAAACTTCGGCGGGTCCATGTAGAAAACCCCTCGACGCCTGGGATAGGGGTCGACATATCCCCTGCTGCGCGCAGGGCGAGGCAGGGGCCGCGCCGTGCTGCGGCTGGCGCAGGCTGCGTGTCAGGACTTCGAGAGAGTAGTATGGCCGCGGACAGCTCCCCCTCCTCCTCCTCCTCCCCCCTCCGACCTCCCCTCCTCCTCCTCCTCCTCTCCTCCTCCTCCTCCTCCTCCGAACTCCTCCTCCTCCTCCTCCTCCTCCTCCTCCTCCTCCCTCCTCCTCCTCCTCGCTCCTCCTCCTCCTCCTCCTCCTCCTCCTCCTCCTCCTCCTCCTCCTCTTCAGGGATGCGTTCTGACCAGAATTTCGGAGAGAACCAGCCGTGGAGACTAGGGATCTCCAGGTTAAGCAGCGGTATCGGTGCCCTTTCCTACTCTGCATAGGATCTGAGCATCGCGGATCTCTATCAAGTCCCATGGCCGGAAAAGGGCCCCCAGAGGCCAAAAACAGTTCAACTGTCCGTGCTGATTGTTTCAATGCTTTGGATATCTGAGGTCGTCAAGACGGGCTGCTCAAGTAAGGAAGGCAATATTAGGAGCAGAGCCCCATTTTCGGTGACGGCAGCAACTGGGTGTACGAAGAAGGCCAAAGAGGAACGCCCGCGGAATGACCTAAGGAACAGCGAGCCCCCGCCAAACCCAAATCGGTCTTACTTCAGAGTCCAGACTTAGGTCGGGCATGTCCCCCTACAGGCGGATCTTGGACGAAAAATTCAAAAGAGTCCAAAAATACCCCCCAATGGTCAAACATAGTAGAAAAATCGTCCCCAGTCTATTTCCCGCCTATGTTTGCATATTCCTCCTGTAGAGGGACAGGCCCTCGGGGACCTTCTGACCCGGGTCAATCCAGACCCGGGTCAGTCAGGCCTTGCCGAATCCCGCAAGCTCCTGCACCCAAACCACCCAGGCCGATGCGGAGGATCCTGCCAGGCCCTCCAGGATCCTGCACCCAAGCCCGGGTCCGTGCGACCCTGTCCCTGCAGGATCCTGCGAGATCCGGCGCCCTGGCTGACCCCCGTTTGCTAGGGCTCCCAACTTCGCGCTTCGCGCTGCGCGAAGCGCGAAGCGCGAATAACTTCGCGCTCTCGCGCCGCCCTCCCAAAGGGAGAATAGGAGGACGAGGAGGAGGGGGAGAAGGAACGAGGACCGCGAAGCGCGAATAACTTCGCGCCCTCGAGGGAGCCCTTGGTTTGCACTGACCCCCGTCTCAAGGCTCCCGAGGCCCGACGTCACCGCCTGGACCGCTTTTCTTGCCCACGGCGCGCGGCGCCTTCTGGATCTCCGCCAGGAGCTGCTGGCAGAGCTGCTCCACTCTCGCCGGCGACCCCGAGGGGCAGGGGGCCCCCGACGGAGCGCTCCGCCGCGCCCCGCCGAGGCCCGAGGAGGACCAGACCGTGCCCTCCAGCGGAGGAGGAGGAGGAGGAGGAGGAGGAGGAGGAGGAGGAGGAGGAGGAGGAGGAGGATCCCCAGACATCCGATGTCCTGATTATTTCACTACGCGACGCGGTCCCTGAAGTCTCGACCCTTTCCCCAGGGATGGCTTTTCCTCGTGAGTAGTTTTGGTGACGGTCCTGGGGCGCGGAGAGGGCTTCCGAAAGCCTAACAGTGCGGACACACTCCGACTTGCTGTTTTCGATGCTCTGAAGCACCAGGCCGGCTCCCTGGGACGCTGAAATCCTGGCGTCGAACTGTCCTCGCCACGGGCGAGTATTTGGGGAAACCCGAAGGTACCGATGCCGCCACTCCCCCCGACCTCTCCCAGGGTGCGTTCTGAGCAGGACTTCGACGCGAAGCCAGCGGTGGCGACGAGGGCCTCCCAGACTGCCGCAAAAGGGGGAAACGGGAGGAGGGTGGCGGCATCGGTGCCTTTCCATCCTCCGGCCAACAGCGCCGATCACAAACGACACCCCGGCGTACCCAGAGATCCGACGTCGTGATTTTTTCAAAACGGGATCCCCAGCAGTCTCGACCCACCCCCTGGGACAATTGTTTCGTCTCCCAGGTCGTTCTTTGACGGTCCCATGGGGCCCGGCGAGGGCCGCCTTGATTTTCAGAATGCATTGGATCTCTGGGTAACGTTATGTGGCTCCCATCGTACTCAAGGACCACATCCAAGACATAATTTCGAGCACCCGAAAAAGTCTCGAAAGAGTGTCGAAACAGTGTCGGACGAGCGTCTCCCCGGGCCCGACACGCGACAACCCTCGAGTGTCGGTGTGTTTGATGGAGCTCGAAATACTTTTTCTGTCCCCCTACAGGGGGGTGTTGGACGAAACATCAAAAATACACCAAACATTATTAAAACCATATAGTCTGGGAAAACATTATACACCATACGGAAAGAATGAGTACAATGCCCAACAACTAATGTTGTCCCAAACCAACAGCGGCCGCTGTTAGGCAGGCGGCCTTCTGTCTCGAATGGATACAGGCCGCGGCGGCATGGACAGCGAGTCCTGCTCAAAACGAACAGGATCCGCTGCTGGGCATTGTACCCATTCTTTCCGTGCCCACTCCGTTCGTGCAGATTCAAGGCTAAAGCAGGTACGAAACATAAAAAATACACCAAAAATTGCTAAAAACAAATCGTCTGGGGAATCTGTTTTGATTACTTCTGACTGTTTTGGAACATGTTTCGAATCTTTTGCCTTCTTCGTTAAAAATAATCCCCCTGCAGGGGGACCGGCCCGATTCGAGGCGAAAGCAGGTTGGAACACCAGACAGGTTACGAAATCTGGGGTAACCACATCCCTTCGAGGCCGCCGCTCTCGGCTGGCCCGCCCCCGCCGCCACGGGCAAGCCGGCGCTTGGCACCGCGGCCGCGCCGGCGGGCCCGGCGGCGCGCAGCGGCGCGCCTCCGCCGGCCTGCAGGCGCAGCGCTCCGGGGCCGACGACCTCGGAGGGCTCCGAGTCGGAAGCTGGAACGTATACATTCCATCTGAAAAAAGTGCTGTTCAGACTCTGGGGCGCCCCCAGACTCTGGGGGTTGGGGGTTGCTCCGACGTTGTCTCTCGTTGTCCGACTGTGTCTCCTCGCTCATAGCCCCTGCCTCCTTCTCCTGGTCCTCCTCCCTGTTTCTCTTCCTACTCCCTCTTCGCCTGCTTTTCCCAGTCCTTTTCTTCCTATTCCTCCTTTTCCTCCTCCTCCTCCTCCTCAACCTCCTCCTCCTCCTCCTCCTCCTCCTCCTCCTCCTCGCCCCCAGTGCGCCCAGGAGGCTTTCAAGATGGCCCCATGACGGCCCAGGAGGCCCCAAAGACGGCCCCAAGAGGCCTCTAAGACGCCCAATATGGCCTCCAAGACGGCCCTGAAGCGCCTCAAGAGGACCCCACATCGGTTCAGAGAGGCCCCCAAGACGGCTTCCGACGGCGTCAGACCCGTCAGACGGGCTAGGAACGATTTTAGACTGCCAAGGAGAGGCCCCCAAGACGCCCCCACGGCCCCCAAGAGGCCTAAGGAGGCCCCCAAGAGGCTTCCGAGAGGCCCCCCGGGAAGCCCCCAGGAGGCCCCACAAGAGTGCCCCAAGAGGCTCCCAAGAGGCTTCCTCCTCCTCCTCCTCCTCCTCCTCCTTCTCCTCCTCCTTGTCATCCTCTTCCTCCCTCTCCTGATCCTCCCCCTCAGCCTCCCCCAAGCGTTCCCCGAAGAGTTTCCGGAGCGGCTGGGGGAATACATAATCAGATAGCTTGGCCAAGCTGGGGCCCAACGTTTGGCCACATAGGCGCTTCTCAAAAAGGCTGGGGGCGGCGGTGATTCGCCGTAGGCGTCTTGAATCCGCCGCCCCCTGTGCTTGCCACAGGGTTGGACGGCGTTCCAGACATTTTGCTGAGATTCTGATTTTCAAACCCTTCCCAGTGGCCTTCGGCCCAGACCGCCTGCCCCTCGGAAGGACCAGAAGGTGTGGCCCACATCGCCACCAAGACGGCCCAAACGGCCCAATATGGTCACCAAGATGCCTCCAAGGCGGCTAGGATCGCTCCAAGAGAGCCCAAGACGGCTTCAATATGTCTCCAAGACGGCCCAAGATGCACCCGAGGCGTCCAAGATGGCCCCAAGATGGCCCAGGACGGCCCCAAAGGCCCCCAGGAGGCTTTTAATGCAGTCCAAGAAGCCTCCAAAGGGATCTGCAGGAAGGCCCGAAGAGGCCAAGACAGCTGATTTCCGTGGGCTCTTGATGGATTTTGACGTTTTCGGCCTGCCGACGGCCCAATGCCGCCGAAGAGACCCCCAAGATGGCCCCAAGAGCGCCCAAGAGGCCTCCAAGACGGCCCCATGACGGCCTCCAGACGGTCCAAGAGGCCCCCAAGGCGCCTCCAAGACGGCCCACGAGAATTCCAAGGCGCCCACGATGGCCTTCAAGACGGCTCCAAAACGTCAAAGATGGCAACGATACGATTCGACATAGCCCCAGGATGTCCCAAGACAGCCACAGAGGGCCCCAAGGGCCCCAAGGGGATGCAAGGGGCCTCCTAGACAGTCTAGGAAGTCTTCTAGAGGACCTCCAGGAGAGCCCGAAATGCCCAAATGGTTGTATTTATTCCCTTCAATTGTTGAATAATTTGGGCGCGTTTTCTTTTTCGGCTGTCCGACGGCCCAAGATGTCCACAAGATGGCCCCAAGACGGCCCAAGCTGACTTCAAGATGGCCCCAAAAGGGCCCCAAAGGGCGAGGAAACAGTCCAAGAGGAAGAGCAAGAGGAAAGGACGGAATCAGAGGCCCGAAGCGGCTCCGAGTAGCCTGCAGCTCAGCGCGGGCTCGTCTGCGGACGCCCTTGCCCCCCCCAGGAAAAACATATCACCCCGAGGCCCGGTGATGTTTTGTGGGGCCGCCATCTCAAAGCCCCACGGCCAGCTTTTGGGTCGAGGAGGAGGAGGGGCAGGAGGACGAGGAGGTGATCAACAGGAACCTGAGGAGCAGGAGCAGCAGGAGGACGAGGAGTTTGAGCAAGGGGTCAAGGACGGAATGATAGGCCAGAAGCGGCTCCGAGACCAAACCGCGCTGAGCTGCAGGGTTTTCGGAGCCGCTTAAGGCCTCTCATTTCGTCCTTGTCCCCCTGCTCAACCTCCTCGTCCTCCTGCTCCTGATTCTCCTGGTGTTGCTCCTCTTCTTCCTCGACCCAAGAGCCGGCCGTGGGGCCTTGAAAGGGCGGGCCGAAAAAATGTCACCGGGGGCCGAGCTGCAGGCTTCTCGGAGCCGATGCGGCCAAAAAGAGGCTGCCCTGCAGGCTGTCTCGGAGCCGCTGCGCCAAAAGAAGGACACCTTGTCGGTTTAACTACTTGGTCGCTTTGTCGGCTGATTTCGGGCGCGTCGTCATCGTGGTCGTCGTTGTCATCGTCGTCGTCGTGGTCGTCGTCGTCACCACCATCGTCGTGGTCGTCGTCGTCGTCGTCGTCGTCGTCGTCGTCATCGTCGTCGTGTCGTTGTCGTTGTCGTCGCCGTCCATAAGATGGCCCCGAGAGGGCCCTAAGAGGGCCCCAAGAGAGCCCCAAGAGGGCTCCGAGAGGGCCCCAAGAGGGCCCCAGGAGTTGTGCAACAACCCAGCGGCCGCTGGTACATACCTCCTGGGGCCCTCTTGGGGCCCTTTGAGGGCCCTCTTGGAGCCCTCCTGGGCCCCTGGTTGGCCCATGAGAGGGCTCCAAGAGGGCCCTAAGAGGGCCCCAAGAGGGCCCCAAAAGGGCCCCAAGAGGGCCCCAAGAGGGCGCCAAGAGGGCCCCAAGAAGGCCCCAGGAATTATGTACCAATCCAGCGGCCGCTGGTACAGAACTCCTGAACCCTCTTGGGACCCTCTGAGGGCCCTCTCGGAGCCCTCTCGGACCCTTGGTTGGCCCTGTAGGGCCCCAAGAGGGCCCCAAGAGGGCCCCAAGAGGGCCCCAAGAGGGCCCCAAGAGGGCGCCAAGAGGGCGCCAAGAGGGCGCCAAGAGGGCTCCAAGAAGGCCCCAGGAATTATGTACCAACCCAGCGGCCGGTGGTACAGAACTCCTGGGGCCCTCCTCCTCCTCCTCGGCGACGACGACGACGAGGAGGTGTAAACGCACCCTTACCCAGCCCCTGCAGGACCAGGCAGCGATACTTGGACCAAATTTCCTGGCCCCTGTTTCGACCCCAGAGCTCTCGACCCCGTCCAGGAGCTCCCGACCCCAATCCGGAGCTTTCGGCCCCATCCTGGAGCTCTCGACCCGCAGACGACGGCGACGACGACGACGACGACGACGCCTCGAACTGGAGTGGTAAGTTTTGCTGCTGCTTTTCCCCAGGGGTTTGGAGCCCTCGGGGCCCAGGGGGGCCCCGAAACGGATCCGAAGCCTCAATTTTTTCCGGCCCGCGACCGACGACCGGCGACAACGACGACGACGACGACGACGACGACGACGACGGGCATAAGTTATTTGGCGCCCCCCCTTGGGAGCATCGGGTAACTGGGGGGTGCGCTCCACACCCCCCACTTACCCGGTGTCCCCCAGGGGACATCGGGTAACTCGACCTTGCAGGGGGGGGGTTAGGCACGGGTTACCCGGTGGCGAGGGGGGGGCATCGGGTAACTCGACTTTGCACGGGGGGGAGTCGGGCATGAGTTACCCGGTGTCCCCTGGGGGACATCGGGTAAGCGGGGGGTGCGCTCCACACCCCCCACTTACCCGGTGTCCCCCGAGGGGCGTCGAGTAAGTCGACCTTGCAAGGGGCGCATTCGGCATTATTCAGTAAACCGGTGGACCCCCATGGGATCGACATCGGAGTTACCCGGTGGTCCCCGTGGGACATCGGCCCGTGGGACATCGGAGTTACCCGGTGTCCCCCGGGGGACATCGGGTAACTCGACATTGCAAGGAGGGTCTGGGCATGGTTACCCGGTGGCCTCCCGTGGGACACCGGAGTTACCCGGTGTCCCCCGTGGGACATCGGAGTTACCCGGTGTCCCCCGGGGGACATCGGCACGTGGGACATCGGAGTTACCCGGTGTCCCCCGTGGGACATCGGAGTTACCCGGTGGTCCCCGTGGGACATCGGCCCGTGGGACATCGGAGTTACCCGGTGTCCCCCGTGGGACATCGGAGTTACCCGGTGGTCCCCGTGGGACATCGGATGTTACCGTAGGTCCCTGTGGGACAATCGGCCGTGGGACATCGGTGTTATACCCGGTGTCCTTCTTCCGGGGGACTTCGGGTAACTCGACATTGCAAGGGGTCTGGGCCACATGGTTACCCGGTGGCCTCCCGTGGGACATCGGAGTTACCCGGTGTCCCCCGTGGGACATCGGAGTTACCCGGTGGTCCCCGTGGGACATCGGCCCGTGGGACATCGGAGTTACCCGGTGTCCCCCGTGGGACATCGGAGTTACCCGGTGGTCCCCGTGGGACATCGGCCCGTGGGACATCGGAGTTACCCGGTGTCCCCCGTGGGACATCGGAGTTACCCGGTGGTCCCCGTGGGACATCGGCCCGTGGGACATCGGAGTTACCCGGTGTCCTCCGGGGGACATCGGGTAACTCGACATTGCAAGGGGGTCTGGGCATGGTTACCCGGTGGCCTCCCGTGGGACATCGGAGTTACCCGGTGTCCCCCGTGGGACATCGGAGTTACCCGGTGGTCCCCGTGGGACATCGGCCCGTGGGACATCGGATTTACCCGGTGTCCCCCGTGGGACATCGGAGTTACCCGGTGGTCCCCGTGGGACATCGGCCCGTGGGACAGCGGAGTTACCCGGTGTCCCCCGTGGGACATCGGAGTTACCCGGTGGTCCCCGTGGGACATCGGGCCATAAGATACTCCAAGGGGTCCCTAAGGACTGGGCTGGGTACATAACTCCTTGGCCTCTGAGTGCCCTCTTGGGCCCCTGGTTGGCCCTAGGAGGGCCCCAAGAAGGCCCCAGGAATTATGTACCAATCCAGCGGCCGCTGGTACATA